ATGTCAAGCACAAAGTTGGCGGCAGTGACTGGCAGGCCAAATCTCCACAAGGCCGTCTTTGCTACTCAGTGAACAATGCGATCACAGCAAGACTTTGCATCATTTGAGATCCAGCCTGAAGACCGTCATCCCAGGATCAGCGAGTCCCAGATCAACCATTTGGAAAGGGGAAGATCAATGGACTGGTGCTGCTTCCATGATCAACACTGTCCTTTGGGGATGATGTCACCCTCCTCAGCATTCTTCATTTCAGCCCAACGCGGCTTCTTGTAGTGGGCTTGAGCCTCCAAGTTCAACAGCTGGATGGTCTGCATCCCTTGTGGGCGGAAGTCACCTGAATTCTTCTCAATGGCAAAGTTCATCAAGTTCTTCCAGAGTTCCAGAACATGGCCCGACCAAAGTGGAAGTTCCCGAGACGCCGTATTGCAAGAATCCAAGAAATTGGGGAGAACGCCTGCCTTGATGTGGCCATTTTGGAGGCTTGTTCTTGCGACTCCAAAAGTCAACATGCTCTTCAACCGTCAAGGGAAAGGATGAGCCCATAATTGTCGTGCAGTTGGCAATGGCAAAGGAAGGCTTGGGTAGGATTGGCCAGGCCACCAGGGATGGAGAGAACCCTACAAGGAGACAAATTCATTGCTCACAATTTCCAGTTGACACTATAGCTGTTTGGAATTCACTATGCATTGGCGACAAGCAAGAATCCAACTATCAAACTGTTGGCAACATTGTAGGAGCAACATTCAACAGCAATAACACATCTCCAAAGAATCAGACAGCTAATCAAGTATACAGGAAAAACAACATTTGATGGTCAACGGAAATCTACATTGGCAAAAGATGGAAGGTATATATCAAATTCCTTATGTGTTTACTAACAGAACTGTCAAAGTTCCCAGAAGACCTCAAGTCTTTGAGAGACTAAATATGTGGTGTCTTGTGCCATTTTGTTCAGCCTAACACACAGTGAGTTTGAATTGCCTGTTGCGTCAAGAACCGCCTCTCGTATGAACTGTGGATATAAGGGCGCATTTGTGACTACATTTTGATATGGAATGATATGATAATGGTACAATCATACGACATGCTTTGATCATAGAGGGGAAGAGTGAAACGGCCCATGGAACAAGCCCTATGTATTGGGACTGTAGAAGCTAATTTGATGTACATTTTGTTTGGAAATGCGCAAAAATGATATTCTTTTCTGTTAGATAATAAAAGATCCTGCGATACTCTGAGACAGTCAGTCTTCAGTTGTTTGGCGTATCGTAGTCCGAATACTATGAACCTTAAAGTCGTTAGTAAAACTTGCTTTAGTTGGGAAAAGAGTTTTCAAATGACCAAAGCAGCTCACACTTTTGGTCATCCCAAAAACTCTCTACACAGTTTTAACTACTGTAATTCAATCGTTCATCTTTCAAACAACATCTGCCCATGACTGGTTCTCCATGCTCTCACGGTTGATGTATGACGGTTTAGACTTGTCATTATCTGACCCAGGGGAGTCGCCTGTACAACTTCCAACACGCTCCTTGACTGATTCTTCCTCATCATCCTCTAGTAGAGTATCAATGTGTTTGTATCCCAAAACCACATCACAAAACTTTTGAAAGAAACTACCTTGCAAAGGTTTGGTGAAAAATCCGCCAGCATCTTTGCGGTTGGACAGTACACCACATCAATTCCCTTGGACAACAATCTATCCTTAATAAAATAAAAACGATTGTTGATGTGCTTTGACTTTTTTCCGGCTGACTTCTCACCGTTCAAAAGGATCTTCATGGCCCTCTGATTGTCCTGGTACAGTGTGTTCTTTTCTGGTTCAAAATGTTTAGCAAAAAATCGCTCACGCCCACAACTTCTCCTTCTGTTGAGCTCTTCACATTAAGCCCCTGTTTCTTACACATGGTCAAAATCACGCCCCAACCAAATGAGATGAATCCTCCAGTGTGACTTTTGCAGTCGTCGTGGATTCCATACGAAACATCCACCCATGTTTGCATCCTTTGGATGTTGTCTCCACCATTGATTCTTGTCAGATCTTTTGATCCTTTCAGATACTGCAAGACTCTCTTGAGCTTGATCCAATTGTCTTCATCTGGCCATCCAACTCTAGTGCACAAGTAACTGATGGCGGTTTGAATGTCTAAATGGCATTGTCTCAAGACGTACAAAAGTGACACAGAAAATTGTCAGCCCTCTCCTCATTCAAATCTTTTGCAGCTTCTCTCATGTCAAACAGATAAGCCTTGGCAGGCAAAGTAGCTTCTCTATTGATATCATCCATGAACATATCTATCGCCTTCTGAATATGCTTCTTCATGCTGATCTCCACTTTGCCGTCTTTGTATGTTATCTTCATTCCCAAAAACTCATGCTCTTTGCCGTCCTTGTTTGTCATCTTGCCAAACTTGGCTTTGATCTTCCGATGGTATCCTTTACGACCTCCAATTTCATATGACTGATCTTGTTATTGTCTACATACCAGCAAATTGTGCATTGCTTTCGATCAATGTCACAGTTGGCGACGCATAGATTGTATGGATTAAGCTTAAAACCCATATCCATGAGACTTTCCGAGTAAAGTTCATACCATATAATTGAGCTTTTTACGCACCCATATAATACTCTGTCCAATTGTACGTACATCACTTTCTTTCCCTTCACAACAGTGACAAAGCCCCTTAGACTGGGATCAAGCTCACAGAAGATATCAACATGTGGAAAGACGCAATAATAAAGAAGATATTTGATCATCATCGTCATCACATTTTATTGATGGGAGAGATGCAGCCCAACTGATCATGTCATCATTATCATCATCATGAACAGACGAACTCTTTCCATTCTCTTGGCTTATTGCCTATTGAAATGGTTTTGCATACACGTACTTCTTGTCTTGGCAGAGAAAGATGACGCAGAGGTAGTACCTCCTCCAACAACAACAATTGTCACATCAACACAAGGACAGGAGGATTCTATAGAAATACCCAAAAATGAGTCGACAGCCCGTCAGAAGCCAATGATACTTATTATCCAGAGGACGAATACCGATTGCAGGACGGGCAGCGCGATTCTCCAGCAGAAGACAGTATACCCCCTAGAAGATCATCAGATGAGGACTGCAATGACGTAGGAATAGGAGACGAGACACCCAAGAATTCGGAGAAGGGAAAGGAGGATCACATGACCACTACACTGGAAGCAGATGTTCACAGTGCCGTGACACCGGAAATGGGCGATGAAAGGCACAAAGACGACCATGCTATCGCTGGCCAAAACCATGAGGATTTGATTGCTTTTGATACCGTTACCAATTCAAATATTGATGATTCCACAGTTATGCTAGACAATAACAAAGAAGAGGAGCAAGCAGACCTCTGGAAGGGGGAGGCAGAAGAAGGTGATAACCCCGTCAAGACTTATGCAACAGGAAATATCGATGAAAGAGAAGATGAATTGATAACACATGCAGATGAAGAAAACAATGCGCACAATGGTACAAGGGATTCAAGCAGAGGAATAGAGGACGATGGGGGTGAGGATATTCTAGAGCCTGTTGAATCTGGGCATCTCAAATGATACCATCATTGTTGAGGTCAATAATGGCAAGGAGGAAGGCGAAATGAAGTCTGCAATCAACGGCAATACTATTGACACCATTGACAAGACAACGTCATCAATAAACAAACAAGCTACAAACACCAAGACATTAGAAAGAACAGCAAACAAGGAGGCGACTTTTCCTTGGACAAGGAACAGGAAGAAGATTTGGAGGGTCACAGAGAGACAAGCACCAACACAGATTTTGATTACAGCAATGGCGATGCCTACCACAGACGCCAACATGGGCGAAACAAATAAAATTGGTAAGCACCACCGCCAAAGTGCCAGCAACAGCGAGGAACAGGTTGCAGAAGATTTGGAGGGTCACAGAGAGACGAGCACCGACACAGATTTCGATTACAGCGACGACGCGATGTCTACCACGGACGCCAACATGGGCGGCACAAATGAGGTTGGTAAAGTAGAACCTGAGGGAGACATCAGCAGAGATGAAAGCAGCACCACCGCCGAAGTGCCGAAAGCTGGTTTGGAAGATTTCAAAGATATCAACGACAGTACCACGACAACAGAAAGCCCTTTACTGGTAGAGAAACTATCTGAATCCAACATCGCGGACGAGGACGACATTCTGGATCTTGATGAGGAAAATGATGCGATCGCAACGGGCAACATCAGAATGGGTGACAAAATATTGGATGCTCCGTCAGTGGAACACAAAGGAGAATCTACCGAGCCAGCTAGCCCGAATGGAAGCATTGAGGAAAATAGCAACGAGGCCTCAAATGCTCAATCCTCAAGCGACGGTTCGCACGGCCGATCGTGTCGAGGCATTTGGGGAACACCAAAGGTCGGTGCTAGGCCACCAGATATGGAACTACTATACCATGTTTTTGAGAGTCGAATACAAAAGCAACTTGGGATAGGCCCTATACCAGAAAGTCAACTCAGAGAAAATTTATTTCCACTTGGAATCGGGTTTGA